GTCTGGGGTGTATTTTGGGACCCCTCCTTCCTCCCATCTTCATCATCATCAGAGCACAAAGGGTACATAGTTACCTAATTCCTGACCTATTCTGTGGTTTAGGCCCAGATATGCTGTTCTGTCAACCGTCTAGGCCTTGCCTTGACAAAAGACTAAACACTTCTGCTGTGTTCAGAAGCAGGATTGATATGGGGAGCATAGAATGGGGTAAGAGGGTTAAGGAATGTATAAACAAGGCTGCTGGAGGGAGGGAAAGGAACAAGGGACAAAAGGGAGGGGGAGGTTGCTGCTTTTAAAACTTACTTCTAAAACTTACAAGTCTTACAAATATTAGAAAAATAATAAAAAAAAAAAAAAAAAAAACAAACAAAAAAAACAAAAACAAAAACATTAGGGGCTTAAGGCATCACAGGAAGTGGTGCTTTCCCTTCCCTTCTGTTGGACAACAAGAGCCGTGCCCGAGGTTTCGCTCTGGGCAGCGGGAGGAAGGGGAGGAGGCGCGGCCGGGGAGGCTCCTGCGCAGGGCCCGGGGAGAGCCGGTCCCCGGCTCTTCCCCGGGCCCTGCGCAGGAGCCTCCCGGCCGCGCCTCCTCCCCTTCCTCCCGCGGTGCTGGGGAGCGTTCGGGAGCGAGGGCTGGGCTGCCGAGGCCCCCCCGGGCCGGGCAAAGGTTGTCGGCGCTGCCTTCGAGTCCAAGGGTTGGTTGCTCGTCTGTCTGGGGGGGGAGGCCGAGCTCGGGGTCCCTGCGGCTGCGCTGCTGAGAGGGGGGAGCTGAGCGTCTGTCTGTCTGTCTGCAGGTTTGTGCTGCCTTTTCCTAGCGCGGGGATTGGGAAGGCCGTGGCCAAGCGCGAAGATTTAAATTGCTTTAACGTTAGGATTTACTAAAAAAATAGTTCTTGTCTTTTGCAGGCGTGAATTCGGAACTTCCTGGTCAGGGATTCAGCAGCTCTGTTCCTTAGGAAATCATTCCTGCCTATCAACAATACCAGGTCAGGCTGCTGCTAGAAATGAGCTAATAAAAGTACTCCCAGTTAATAAGCTTTTGACATCTGCTGGTTCTGAGCAGATGGAGTGCATCACTCCAGGAGTCTTTCCTAAGCAGCTGATAAGCTGTGATGTAAAACCTGGGCTGGCTTGGTGGCTTTTCTTTGGGAACCCTCCTCCAGTAGCTGAATGCATTTTGTTGCAGTGATTACTGCTTCTGATGTCAGAGTACAGATCATCCAGCTCCTCTTTTTCTCCTAGAGACAATGTCTTCTGGAAATGACTGTCGACCCCAGACTTTGACCAAACCAGCATTGAGTGAGAAAGAAGCAGCTGAATTGGTTGACAGGGTGTTTGGATTAAATGTGTCTTGGCTGAGGCCACTCCCCAGCTATGACGATCAGAACTTCCACGTGGGTGTCTCGGGAAACAACAACGGGGCTGAAGGTGCCAATGAGTATGTCCTGAAAATCACCAACTCGGCAGACAGCTGGGAGCCTGAGCTCATCCAAGCGCAGACCCAGGCCATGATGTTTCTCAGTGCTCAAGGCTTTCCTTCAGCTACTCCTTATCTCACAAAAGATGGTTCCATAATGTCTCTGGAGTCGGGAGGTGAGCAATTGCCAGCACCTTTGCTGCCCCACCCTTAGCTCAGCAGGAGCTTGTGTGTGGCACACTGTGTAGGTACTAAAGGGAAACTCTGGGCTTTTGTTTAAATATTAGGGGATATGTGTCAGGTGACCTGCATTCCACCCATAATAGTCCAAACTTAAAATACCAGAAGCCAAGCAACTCAAAGAAGTAATAATTAACTATGAAAACACTTTCGAAATCACTTCAGTATAATGAATTGGATAAAACATTTTTATGACATGTCCATGAACAAGAAAAGGAAAAAACCACCTCATTGACTAAGTGATGCTTGAAATTATTTGCCTACGGAATGGTGTAAAATACAGTTCTAACCCATCTATGAATCCACAACAAATTGCTTTGACAGTGCTAGGAAGAAAGATTGTGTTGACATTTGGCTTTTACTGTCACTGTAACCTTCATGCAAAATCTGAGATTCCTGAGACCTCCTGTTCTGCTGCAAAGCTGTCAGTGGGTGTGTGTTGGCAGAGTCAGTCCCAAGCACAAGGACTTGAAATCCAGCATAGATTGCAAGTGTGTTAAGGTTTCAGCATCATTGTACAGCACCCTGGTAAATCAAATCTTTGCACGCAATCTGTTTTATCAGCTACATCTGACGACTCCAACACTGGGATAAACCTTTTTTGCCTCTTGCATTAACTGCTACTCAGTAGCACATATGGAAGCCACTGACAGATCTGTCCTTGCTTGTCAGATCCTGGGAACAAGAAGCACATGGTCAGACTGCTGAACTACCTGCCAGGAACGCCGGTGGCCAAAATTGCCCCCAGTGCCCAGCTCCTGTATGAGATCGGTAAACTGGCTGCCAGCCTGGACAAAGCGCTCGCAGAGGTGAGTTCCCATCTGCAGCCTCAGGCTTCTTTCTCCCTGAGTGTCTCCTCAGCGTTTGTTCCTGTGCTCTGCCTGCTCTCCCGGGCTGCAGAATGCAGGCTGGCTAATGCAGGTGTCCCTGACTCATCCCTCAGTGTCAGCTCCAAGCTGGGCTGCTAAAGCCTCTCCCCGCTCCAGGACCTGTGATGAGGTGTTGGTGATACTCTTGCAGTGCATTTTTGTACCACCTACTGGGAGACAAGGATTTCCTTCTGCTTATGCAAGCTCACCTGCTTAGTGTTTCAAACCTGGCAAATAAGGAGAATGAACTCGAGGGTGCTCACATTAGGAGCATGCCAAGCTTGTTTTAAAGGATTTCTGTGTAGTGCACAGCTGGCTGATCCATTCCTTTGAATTCCTTTTGACTTGGTGTCTTTCTCCTGGTCATTAGCCCTGTGACCACTTAACATAGGTTCCTTCCCTACAGTGCCAGCTGTGCCAACAAACAGAGGTCTCTGACACTTCTCATTTGCACTGCTACCACTCAGTCTTAATGCAAAGTAAGTTATTCCTTTACTCTGTAATTATACAGGATAATAAAGGTGATAAATCAGCCAGTAATTAAGTTTGATACATAAAAGAACTCTTGCATTATTTATTGCCTTTCATTAACCTTTCCTTCTCATGTTCTGACTGCTAGCTTCAGACAATTATGAAATGTGAATTGCCAGCTTTACTAACCACATTCTTAAATTACAAAACCATTTTTCAATTGGGAAAGATAACTTGCAGTTGCCTTCTGGCACACTGGTCACACTCTTATAATGCGATTAAAACAATTTATATAGGCGAGCTGGTCTCAAAATAAGCCTGTGACTGATCCTGCCAAGGAGGAAGTACTTGATGAGAAAGCAAATTCTGAGGGAAAAGGCTCTTTATGCCCTTAACATATGGATTATCATCTACCAAGGCTTGTCACTTAAAAGAAAGCAAATTACAATAATTCTTGTCAAAACTTCAAAATGTTGTTGGCACTAAAAATAATACCTAAGGTATTAAGTTTCCTGACAACAGACCGGAAAGTACAGCCTGTCTTTTTTACCCAGTTAATTTACTTTATCACCTTGACAGCAAAGCACCGTGCCCTGCTTTGTTTTGTGCCCCAGCTCGTATTGCACCCCCTTCTCTGGCGGTGTCTGTCTGGCTCAGATGTGCCTCGCAGCCCCGAAGTGGAAATGAGTTTATGGCTGACCCCCTAAGGCGTGGCAGTGACGAGGGCTCCTGACTTACCGCCCTTACCGGCAGGTGGCTTCATTCCTCCGATGTGTGGCTTTCCACAGCATTAGGGATTCTCTATTGTGATTTTGGTTTAGGCTCGATGATGTTCCTTGTTCATACACGGTCTGTTTTGACTGTCATTTAGTGATCGTTAAGAGCCTTAATTACAAGCATAGTTTTTTGTTGTTGTTGTTGTTGTTTTTTTTAAGAAGAAGCCAGCTGCTCTCATGGGAAGTCTTTTTATTTGGTGCTGGTCAAATCTGGCCCACAGGCCACCCTAATAAGCATTCAAGGAGTGCAGGTGTGGGGTGTGCAGTGGGAGAGATGCTTTTCCTCTCTGAGTGCCTTTTCCAAACCACCTTTTCCATTTGCTGGTTAAGGACCTTGTTTGTTTGAAATAGAGAGGCCTGGCTGTACAAAGACAAATTCCTATAAGAATGAAGTCATGGTCAGTGTCTCCATGAAGGACTCTGTCCCCAGGGGTTTTCACACACCAGCTGTTCCTAAAGCTTGTCCCCAGAAGCTGCCACCTTTAAAAGCACGGAGTGTGCCTGTTCCCAGCATGCTGGCAGGTTTTGTGTCTCTTCTGCCCTGACATCTTTCTGCAGTGCCAGCTGTGCAGGCTGGGCTCTGCCAGCCTGGGGCTCTGCCTTGGCAAGGCCTCAAAGTCCCCACATCCCGTCACACTATGGACAGTCAACAGCAATTTTAGATTATTGAAGTGACAAATGACTTAAGATAATCTTTGTACCTAAACCATGGGAAAAAACCAACATTCAGGCTGTGTGTAGATATTAAGATGCTTGCCTTAATCATTCTTCAGGTTATTCTTTTACTTGATGCAAAGCAATAGTGCAAGTAATGGTGCTTTTCAGTGAGTCTCATTAGAAACCTGTTAAAGTTAATAGGGGCTTTGAATCAAGCCCTTTAATCACAAACCCAGCATTTCTACTTATGGCCTGTTTTATTGTGTGCTTTTTCCAAAGAAATTCCATCATCCATCAGTAAAAAGTCTGCATCGAGGTCAGTTCATTTGGAACCTGGCAAATGTTCCTCTTCTAGAGCAGTACATTTATGCCTTGGGCCAGAACAAATACCGTGCAGTTGTGGAACAAGTTATTGAGCAGTTTAAAGGGAAAGTGATACCCAAGCTAAGCAGTTTTCGAGCCTGTGAGTATTTTGTTCTCATTTTAACTGTGTTGAAATGAGACACAGAAAATTCTTTCAGGAGTTTGGGTCTGTGTAGAAGGAAAAAAAAAAGGCAAAAAAGTAAATCTCCTTTCTCCCCCACCTAGACATGGGCAAACATTGTGCTCAATGGACACAGCATCTGTAAGCCAGAAGGAATGTGCTGTCCAGGGTCAGGGTCAATTCCTTTCTGCTGAGTTTGCTTCCAGTTAAGGTGATGATTTTCTGCTGTTGTATCAGCTTACTGTTATATGAGTGCACCACTTCCTTTCTTAAAGGCCCAGATAAGTACTTAATCATACTTTTGGAATTCTGCTCACATTGATCTCGATGACAATGTGACAGTTCTATAGTTGGAAACTGCTACTGTGTATTTGGAAAACATGTAGCATATCACAGGTAGTACCAGACCAGTCAGATCTTGAAACATTCCCTCCATCCACTGCTGTCAGTGCGGTGGAGGTTCCTGGGCAGCAGTAATGGTGTGAAAGGCACCTCTTGATGCTGCAGGGGACTCGTGGTTTTGTAGTTGAGTGTTAGTTTGAGCGTCTATGCATCTTCTTAAAGCTCTTCCACTGAGAAATACGGGAGGGGGGGAAAGTTAAATTCTGCTGCTTATTAATTATTAAGTACTGTTTCTGCTGTGCTTAGGTATCAATCATGGAGATTTTAATGACTACAACATCCTAGTAGACTGCAGTTCTACTTCCCTGGAGAACCCCCAGTACAGAGTGTCGGGCATCCTGGACTTCAGCGACATGAGCTACGGCTATTACGTGTTTGAGGTCGCCATAGCCATCATGTACATGATGATCGAGAGCCCAGACCCTCTGGGCGTTGGGGGGCATGTTCTGGCGGGGTTCGAGAGCGTGGTGCCGCTCACGGCTGAGGAGAGAGGGGCCCTTTTCCTCCTGGTGAGCGGCAGGTTCGCGCAGTCGCTCGTCATCGCCGCCCACACGGCTCTGCTGTACCCGGAGAACAAGGAGTACCTCATGATCACAGCCAAAACCGGCTGGAAACACTTAATGACAATGTTTGAGATGGGCCAGGAGGCGGTGGAGAAGAAATGGTTTGAGACTGCCCAGGCGTACACGCACCGCGCACCTGCCCCGTCGGTCGGTGGCTGCTGAGGTGTCACTGGCAGTGACACTGGACCAAATAAAGGCAATAAAGTGGGCGCTGCCTGGACTGGATGGGACTTGTTTGCAGGCAGGGGTGGGAACTGGGCTTGGTCTGCCTTCCCCAGGGGCTGTGGCCATTTCTCGAGAGTGTGCCCGTTACTGACCCTCAGGGCACAGCTGTGCTGTTATTGGCAAAGAGTGTGGCTGTCACTGACCCTCAGGGCGGGGGTGGCTGTCACTGACCCTCAGGGCACAGTATGGGCTGTTTCTAACCTCAGGCACGGGTGTGGCTGTTCCTGCCCTCAGGGCACAGGTATGGCTGTTTCTAACCCTCAGGGCACAGGTGTGGCTGTTCCTGCCCTCAGGGCACAGGTGTGGCTGTTTCTAACCCTCAGGGCACAGGTATGGCCGTTCCTGACCCTCAGGGCACAGGTATGACTGTGTCTGACCCTCAGTGCGGGGATGTGGCCGTTCCTGCCCTCAGGGCACAGGTATGACTGTTTCTGACCCTCAGGGCGGGGATATGGCCGTTCCTGACCCTCAGGGCACAGGTGTGGCCGTCACTACCCCTCAGGGCGGGGGTGTGGCCGTTCCCGCCCCGTTCCGCCGGCCCCTCCCCGCGCGCGGCAGGGAAGGGCAGAGGCCGCCGCCCGGCCCGGCGCGCCGGGCACCCGCAGGCGCGGCGGCCATTTCCGACGCGGCGGTGAAGGCTCGGGCGCGGCCGCAGCGCCCGGTTCGTGCCGCGGGACGGGACCCGCGCCCCCGCCCGGCCCAGCGTCCTATCTCCGGCCCGCCGTGAGTGGGGGCGGGCGGCGGGCGGGCTGGGGGGTGCGAGGCGCGGCCCCTGCGCGGCGCCGGGGGGCGGCGAGGCCCTGGCGTTCCGCCGCGCTGAGGATGACTGTGCAGTGCGGCGCGGGCGGGCAGCGCCCTCTGGGGCCGGGCCGGGGGCGCTCGGGCCGTGCCGGTTCACGTGTCCCGTGTTCCCCCGCAGGCCCCGGTGCCGGTTTACGTCCCTGTGTTCCCCCGCAGGCCCGGTGCCGGTTCCTGTGCCCGTTCCCGCTTCACGTCCCTGTGTTCCCTCGTAGGCCCGGTGCCGGTTCCTGTGCCCGTTCCCCTTTCACATCCCTGTGTTCCCCCGCAGGCCCGGTGCCGGTTCCTGTGCCCGTTCCCGCTTCACGTCCCTGTGTTCCCTCCTAGGCCCGCTGCCCGCGGCGCGTCCCCGGCACGATGGTGAGTGACCCCCTCTCCCGGGGCTCTGCGGGGCGCGGTGCTGCCGAGTCACGGCCCGGGCCCAGCTCACCGGCTGGTTGGGTCTGTTCTGTCACACGGGGACTTGGAGGGTTGGTGACAAGGGACTGACGGTACTTACTGAGCTATTGCTTTTTACAGTCTCGAAGATATGACTCCAGAACTACCATATTTTCTCCTGAAGGTATTTTTTAACTCCACACTTTCAAGTAAACTCTGACTGCTCTATTCACCTTCTCACTTGCATGAAGGTTGGTTGTTTATAGCATGTTTCCATCTGTGTATGAGTTAGAGAAATCATATTTACCCAACAGAAGTAGTACCCAGTTCTGTAAGGACACCAAGGGTCCGAAGTGGACATTTCCAAATTCATTCTGACTGAAGCAATAATAAACCCTTCCCCCATCAGTGAGTAATATCACCTGCCACGTTTTTGAAATAACTATTTATCTTTTATTTGATATGGGTGGATTTTGTCACTGTTCCCTAAGACTGGACAATATCCTGCTGGTGCAGTCACACCTCTCCTTGTTATTCTTACACATGCTGAAACAAGTGTTTGCACACCATGTTTTCCTGTTTCTTAGATGGAGGAACTCAAAAAGTTCAGTATCAGATATTTTCTTTGATTATCAAAAATCCATTTTGGCTCATTTTGCTGCAGTAGAGACTTCTCCAGTTGTTTTTTTTTTTAATTTTTTTCAAGAGAGGGTATTTTCCCCATTTTTGGATTTTCCTTCTCTGATTCCTTCCTCCTGTTCAACCTGTTAATTTACTATCTGTTAATTTACTTCTCCAGTAATAGACTGGAGAAGTAAGAGCAGTTTGTATAATGAGCATCTGCCAGATTCTTGCAAGTTCAGGTCACCGTGTGAACTCGGTGGTTTTGGGTGTTATTTTTTGACATTCTGAATGGAAACCCTCTGCCAGGTCGCCTGTACCAGGTGGAATATGCCATGGAAGCCATCGGACACGCGGGCACTTGCCTGGGAATTCTGGCCAACGATGGAGTCCTGCTGGCAGCGGAGAGACGCAACATCCACAAGCTGCTCGATGAAGTGTTTTTCTCAGAGAAAATATACAAACTTAATGAGTGAGTCGAAATGACGATCAAATGTCCAGTGATGTTATTAGTAACAGAACACTGACTAGCACATAAGCTGCTTTTATTTAATTTGAAGTGTTTACAGTCTTTTTGTTTGGTGTTTTAGGCAAGTATGACTGTTTTGTCGTTGCTCACTTTAGTAGTTCTCCTTCTAAAGCAGAAATATTGCTGGGTTTGGTTTTTTTTTTTTATCTCTAGGAGTATTTTCCAGGTGGAATAGCCTGTTTGTTGTGCTGTGCCATACAAGGTAATGGTATTACAGCAGTTCAGAAAATGGGGAATTCTGTTTCACAAAGTACCATTGGGGGGCAGAATGAAGAATGCACACAAGAAATACCATGCTACTTCAGCTCAGTATCGTCCTCTGAGTCTTTGTTTTTCTTTGGTGACTCAAAGAGAACAAGATTATTGGATGTCTTAGGCTTCTTTGCCACAATTGTAGCAGAAACGATACATCTCCCAATTACAACTTCCATTTTAGTTCTCTGGAAATTAAATTTGGGATGTCACAGCAAAGATTATTACAGATTATGCTTTCTTGCCTGTAAGGGAGGTAGAGCTTCATCCTTGCTGGAAGGTGCACATGAAACACAAATAGTTTTTCATCCTGTCAGCCTCCCATTCTGTGTTGATCGTGAAGGCAGTTGGAACAGTAGGAAGCACTGGATTTTAGAGGAGGCAGTGTAACACTGCACTGGAGCAGTCCCTAGAACAGCCCTTCCATCTTTGGGGAAACTCCTAATTTCACAAATCCTTCTTGGGTAATAAAAGCTTTGTAGCAACATCAGGTTGGGCTAAAGAGTTCTTAAACAATGAAGGATGTGAAGTGCTTGGTTTTGTCAGGGTCACATCCAGGTCACTGAGTTTCAGTGACACAGATGCCGTGTGTCAGCCAGCAGCTCCCACTGGAGGCCTGTCACATCCGTGTGGCTCCACGTCAGGTGGCTCCTGAGGGGCACCTGCATGTACCTGATGGCTCCTGTAAAGCCACCCAGCACTTGATCATCCTTGGCATGACCCTCCTCTCAGAACTCTCTGTGTAACTCACGTGCTGACTCACCCACATTCGCTGTCCAGCTCTGCTCTCAGGAAATGGTTACTGAGATTTTTGGTGTACCCCAAAGGCAGGAGCTGATGAACCTGTTTTATGTGGCAGCTACGTAGTTTTGATCAGAAAAGCCTTGACAGAAGGTGTTGTGCTTAGAGCCCTGTGTGAAGGTGTGACTGTTGGCTGGAGGTGGATGGAGTTCAGCCTGTGCTTCCATTGCAGGGACATGGCTTGCAGCGTTGCAGGAATCACTTCAGATGCCAATGTTCTCACCAACGAGCTGCGACTGATTGCCCAGAGGTGGGTCTGCTGGGAGTTAACATGCTTTTACTTGCCTGCCCTGTCACATTGAGTTCCCTGCATGTTAAATCAAAATGAACATGCCTTTAGTAGATCAGAAGTGGATTGAAATAGAACAACTAGATCAAAGAGGCTCTAACTTGGGAACTTGTTTCCTCTTAAATGTTGTACAGACTACTGTTAGCAAAACAAGTTTTGAAAACCGTTTTTTCTCCTCTTTGATATTAGGTATTTGTTACAATATCAAGAGCCCATTCCTTGTGAACAACTGGTAACAGCTCTGTGTGATATCAAGCAGGCTTACACACAGTTTGGAGGTAACGAAGTGCCATGAGTCATTGTGTTATTAAATGTCTAAGGAACAATTCTCTGACATAATATGAAGGATCTAAATCTCTGGACAGCTCTACTGAATTCTTCTCTTAACAAGTTATACTGAGAAAAACAATAGCCTAATTTAAGAGGGGAATGGGTAGTCATGGTTACTGCTTTGCTGCTGAAGGTGCTACTTTTTATTGATTGGGAAATTGATGGCTCAGATGCCAGGCCATTGCATAGAATGCTTTGAGTGCTCTTGTATTTAATCAGTGCCTTCAAAAGACCAGTAGAGAATTGTTTGATGGGCAGCTTTTCAGTGTTTGGGGCCCACCCAAAATGTAACACTTCAAAAAATACTATTTCTGTGGCTCGAGCAACGAGGTTGTCTTGTTCCTTAGTATGTGAACATTAGTATGTATTCTCTGTTTTACATATATGTAGTGTGAAAGAATTACCTTTTTATGTACTTGGCTTTTGACACTGTTAAGTTAAACACTTCAACAGCTAAGCTACGTACTTTAAATATTCAATTTTGATTTAAAGTCCTGAGATGATAAATTACAATTTGTGGAGACAGAAATGAGCTGCTCTTAGGGTTAAATGGAATAAACCTCTGCTGCCCCCCACCCCACGACTTAGAAAGAAATGCTGGCATGCTTATCTCAAGCAACAGAAGTGCAGGACTGTCTGTTAAATCCCAGTTCACAGGAGTAGATTTGGAAAAAGAAATCAAAGAAAATAATTGTCAGTCATGACCAATCTCGTTACTAAATTTAGATTGCTAATAGCCTTCTTTTCAACAGGAAAACGTCCTTTTGGTGTGTCGTTGCTCTATATTGGCTGGGATAAGCATTATGGATTTCAGCTGTATCAAAGTGACCCTAGTGGAAATTATGGAGGCTGGAAAGCCACATGCATTGGGAATAACAGCGCCGTAAGTTCTGGGGCTTTTCTTCTCAAAAAACAAGGAAAAGGGTGTAAATTGCACTGTACTAATTAAACTGAGTTGTTGGTTACTAGTGCAGGAGAGATTTACAGGTAATTTCAG